TTACTGGGTTTAACGATACATACCACCACGTTCGGCTTCTTGCACCACCAAGGCGTCAGCTTCAACCTCTTCGAGCACCAAGGCGTCTTGCTTGACCACGAGGAACCCCACCGTCAGCAGGGCCAGCAGACAGGCGGTAACAGGAGACATGATGGCAATGCGGGCAGAGGTTGACCAAGAGCTGTCGGTTGAGATCGAAGTCCGGCTTGAAACCAAGTCAGTTAATCGTGCTTAGCGTGATTTGGGGCTGTGCGCCTGAAAACTTTCGTCGGAGCAGTTATGATTCCTAACATTGGTAGCAATCGCTTATGTAAGTCCCTGAACGTGCACATTCATGACTCAGAGTCACGTGACCAAAGTTATAAATTTCAAGTACAGATGGGCTATAAAATCGCAAGGTCCTTTTGGCAAAACCTTGGCGTTCTTTCAATTCTATTTTGTTCAATTTCTTAAGATTAATTTTTAGTTTTAGAATACCGATTAACTTTTTTCCCCCGACAGTTAATGAAATACAATGTATTTTGAAAAAAAACCATCCCATTTAAACTTTGTCAGCAATATTGCACACAAATGCAAAGTCATTTTGGCAAGATGTCAAATACCAAAATGATGGAACTGGCTACGTAAATTTGAAATATTCATGACTGGGCAATGACAGGTTTTATGAACCGTATGTTGCATTAATTGAGGTAAAATAAAGTACCGTTGGCTGCGTTGCATCTTGTTGAGAAACGTTAATTGAGTTTTTGCATTACTTGACTGAATATTTTTTTCCAAACGTGTATATAGTTTAATATTGTTTCTGATGAACGGGTTCTGCAAGTGTTTTAAGGTGCACTTTTAAAGGGAATGTACATGATTGGCTTTTCCTGTAATTTTCAGAAATGAATTATTTGAGGGGTTAGTATCATAGATATTGTTACACTGACATGTTTGAAGGTTTGTGTAAAAAATGCTTGAAAAACCAAGAAAAATAAATATTTTCACGTAGTCTAGCTGGTTCCTTGACTCCACTAAAGGTACAGATGTATCATTTAAAGACGCCGGAAAACTGTAAGATAAGGGAACCAGTATAGCTGGCCTGCACCCGTTCATGAACATGTAACCAATAGCAAACACAATTTTTACTGAAAAAATGGTAAAGTTGGAGCAGTAGTTGAAAATAAGTTAGGTTTTTCCAACAGTGGTCGGCCGACCACCGTTGGAATTGTATACAAAAATACCAGTTTCTTCAAAATGACTTCACACCAGGTGTCATAGATTTACAGGATGCTTTAGACTGTCATTTACCAACATCCTAGTAAGGTATTTCGTAACAACTTGGTAGTTTGATTTTTCGATGTTTGCAAATGTTGTATTTTCCCTTTAAGACGGTTAGAAACATTCTTTGTGGAAAAACTGCAGACACGTTAAACGTATTATGCGGGATCGTTAAGGCATCACTGGCCCGCTCATGGCTCACTCGTCCATCTATAGGCCTTTCTTTTGTTTGTAAACATTGGCGCCATTTTGTATGGGCTGCCGTAAGCGCATAAATTGAAGCCGTGGTTGGCAACGTATTTTTCCAAAAAAAATCCTCATAACGCCGTTAACACATAGTAAAAAGACATGTGTAGGAATTATTTTGTAGCTTTGCTGAAAATGTTGTACTTTCAAGTATCGAATAATATTTTGGTGATCTGTAATAACTCTTCTTCATTTTTGCAGTGTTGGACCTTCCAAAGTTTTGCAGGCCGTGGTTGGCAAAAATGCAGTTTGCCAACCAAGCGCAGAAAGGTCTATTGGAGCGGTTACAGCGCCACCACGCGGCAAACATTGTCGTGTGTTGGACTGACCGGCAAACATTGTCGTGTGTTGGACTGACCGTTTCAACCGACCTTCAGTTACGAGATTTTTTTGTTTTAGATAATTTTGGTATCATCCAAACTTTATTATTGTTGTATATATTCCACACATAGCTAGGTTGATTTTTGTGTAAAGCTAGTTTGGAACTTCATCATAAGCAGATTTGTGTCGTTTATCCAACATGGCGCCGCACAGCCCGTTAATGTGGCTGAAATACATTCACATACTGGACTACCTCCGTATATCAGCAACTAATTTGCCATATGCCCTGTGCATGGAAGGTCCCGTTGCTAGTGGAGCAGAACATCAAATTAAGATTGGAATTATTTTGTTACTTTATACTTACACAATAACGTCTACAACTGCTTAATAGGGAAAAATTGAATTCATAATGAATTCAACGGTTTTTTTTTAAAATTACCTTCAGAGGACTAGTTATCTTGTAATTTCGGGTTGAATTCGAACGAATTTCTGCTGCTATTGGTTCACGATAATCAATAATACTTTTAGGGGGCAGCGATAAGGCCCCCCCAAAAAAGTCTCCGGTTTCTGGTATGCGCGCGCGTCGCAGTAGCCATGCATGCGCGTCGGCAAAATTATTATTATTTTTTTTCAATGTAAGATGATGTCTCAAAACCGCAAAGCTCACTGGTTCGACTGGAAACCTGCTGCTGCATAATTGAACGTATTTTAGATGGGGTTACGATCGAGTATAAACTTTATGTGGCCTCTCTTGGCTCCCATACACTAAATTTAGTCGGGCACCATAATTATGCAGTCATCAGCCGATATTTGAAGAAAAAAAGGAAAAACTAGAGCTGTATGTCTGTTTGAAAACAAAACACAGGGCTTTTTCGCATTTTATAAATGTTTTGCTATGTTTGTCCTTTGCAGTCACTTTTTAGCTTTTAATACAGACGGTTAAAGGTAGTTAATGCTTAGAATATTTCCAAAAATAAAGCTTTTTTGACATGACGTCACATGCCCTGCGACGACGTCATCTTGAAAATCCTTCTCAATGCACATTTTGTCATTGTGGTCTTGGTTTGAACCAAGTTTACAGTCGATCCGATGAAAGAAAGTGTGCAATTTTGGAAACAGAATGACGTCATAGTCTTGGCATAATTTTTGTATGAGGGTCTTCCTTTGCTGTAACTTTGATGACGATTCCAGATCGCCAAGTTATAAAAATGGTGGCTTGAAAACGTGTACAAAGTCAATGGGCAAAAATCCCACTGCAGAAAAACTGCACCTTTAAATAAGTGATTTGCCTTTAAACTGAAACATTTTATAAAATATTACTTAATATTCTGACTCTTGGGAATATTTTCAATCAAATGACACAGCGTTAAATAATACGATTTCTCTTTCCTTCTCATAGTAATTCTCGGCCGAAGTTCAGAACTACTCAGTAAGATATATGGTAATAATACATGCACTGTACAATTATAACTTTAGTCTAGTTTGTGATAGACTGGTTCCCGGTCCCTCAATTGTCCTTCGGACTTCGAATGCAGGGACAAACCTGTAGCGGGCAATGAATATGCTGGACTAGTCTAGGTCTGATTCCCACCCCTGAATACAAAATCACAACTACGATATTAGCTCGGAACCAGCTTATTGCAAAATGGCAACAAGGCTACCCCTTAGTGCAATTTATTTTGTGATCAGCTACGATTTTCGCTGGATTCGGGCGATTCCATTGCATTGCGCCACCAAGAGCTTGCCATGGAGAGTACATTTTTCAAGTTTACGGTCGACAAAACATGGCCCATTTGAATGAGTGTCAGTAGACAACTTGAGCTAATATAGTATAGATTAGGGCATGGCGTTCTGCCGCCTTACAAAAAAAACATGTTGATAAAAAGAAAAACAAGTCAGGTGTGTTTACAAACACAAATGCCCCGCAACCGTGACTGTTCCCATGACATAACACCACTCTTTTAACATCAACTTACATGTACCTTGGTCACATGGAATGTTCATTGACAGCATTAGTGTCTTCTGTAGGTTTTATATGAATTAATCCCTAATCCCTATGATCTCAGAATAAATACAAGATTTCGATTGCTTTAGCCACTGTGACCTAGACCCTTGACCTTTTGGCCCCAAATGCAAAAGGCTTCTTAGGATTACCAAGGACAATCCACAAACCAAATTTGAAGTTCATATGTAAAGTATTTCTCAACTTATCGCGCTGACAAAATTTCTTTTGTTTTAGCCACTGTGACCTTGACCCTTGACCTTTCGGCCCCAAATGCAATAGGCTTCTTAGGATTGCCAAGGACAATCCACAAACCAAATTTGAAGTTCATATGTAAAGTATATCTCAAGTTATCACGCTGACAAAATTTCTATTGTTTTAGCCACTGTGACCTTGACCCTTGACCTTTCGGCCCCAAATGCAAAAGGCTTCTCAGGATTGCCAAGGACAATCCACAAACCAAATTTGAAGTTCATATGTAAAGTATTTCTCAAGTTATCGCGCTGACAAAATTTCTATTGTTTCAGCCACTGTGACCTTGACCCTTGACCTTTCAGCCCCAAATGCAATAGGCCTCTTAGGATTGCCAAGGAAAATCCACAAACCAAATTTGAAGTTCATATGTAAAGTATATCTCAAGTTATCACGCTGACAAAATTTCTATTGTTTTAGCCACTGTGACCTTGACCCTTGACCTTTCGGCCCCAAATGCAAAAGGCTTCTCAGGATTGCCAAGGACAATCCACAAACCAAATTTGAAGTTCATATGTAAAGTATTTCTCAAGTTATCGCGCTGACAAAATTTCTATTGTTTCAGCCACTGTGACCTTGACCCTTGACCTTTCGGCCCCAAATGCAATAGGCCTCTTAGGATTACCAAGAACAATACACAGACCAAATTTGAAGTTCATATGTTAAGTATTTCTTAAGTTATCGTGCTGACAAGATTTGTCCGGACACACACACCCACACACCCACCCACACACACACCCACACACCCACCCACCCACCCACCCACCCACGGAAGGACAAGGCGGAAACAGTATGCCCCTTCGGCTTCGCCGCGGGGCATAAAAAAAGGCAAACAGATCCTCGAATAATACGCTTCCGAAACTACTGACCGGAAAAACTAACAATTTCAAATGTCCCGCACTGCGAATTTGTCGACTCTCTCCCACAATGCACTGCGAAAAATGAACTCTCCGCGGCAAACTCTTGGTGGCGCACTGCATTGTGAATCGCCCTAAATATAAATACTATCAATACAGAGATTTATTTTATTTTATTTATTGTAATTTTTAACGAGGGTAGTCCATTTCAGATTAAAAAACTGCTTTCCAAAGGAGCCCTCACATTAAAATTACATGAAAACAGAATGAAACAAAGAAAATAAAATTACAAAAATAGACAAGACTTTCCAAAAAAAGAAAATTATTTACACAAAACATACAGTATGAGTAAAAACTAACAGAGAGCATAAAAACACTTATTGCACATATACATTTGCACATGTACAATGAAAATCATTACATGGAATTACATGGAATTACATGGAGTCCCCCAGTAAACCTAAAAAAAGCAGTGCTAGTAAAAAGCAAAACATCACAATTATCCCGATTTACACGTCAAAAATAAAATGCTCAGAAAGAAAAAAGTCAGACTGTAAAATAAATGCCTTGTCATTCCTCAAAGATTTGCATAAAGTCCGACAACAGTGCATGTAACCTAACCAAAAACCACATATAAACCAAACAGTTACACATGATGATTACTAAAAGTGTAGCTACATGTATAAACAGCTATCATATCCCAAACCGTCCCCTCAGAACTGATTAAAAACCGGATTCATTTAAAATATGTCGTTTGAGGTTTATGCAAAACAAGAGGGGCCAAACTTTCAGTAAAACCTATGCAATTGCACGGTTGAAAGTTGCCTTCGTGGGGACACTGGTGATTTGCCAACTGGTTCTAATAACTTTCCATGCGCAAAGTTTCAATCATAATAAAAAAAACCCAAATACTGCGCACGCGCGGAGGTGATCCAATCAATGGCCTTAAATAGGAACTATACCGATTCCCAAATTTATTGGGGGGGGGGGGACCAGTCTAGGTTTCTGAGGGATAGTATCTCTGGTTTATACTTTGAAGAGATGGAATCTAAGCATAGAGAAAACTACATTAGAAGGTCAGCTCAGGCCTCCAATTTTACCAACCCTGCGTCGTTACATGCTTTTCCTAGGACAGTAGTAGTATTGAAGAATCCTATTTCTTCAGCTTCATGCTATGTAGGCCTACAGTTAATGTTTTGGTGAACAAAAATGAAGAAAACCCTCGCATTCCGTTTCGTTACAAAATTGATATTAAACTAGTAGCGGTTTTGAGGTGAAAACTGTTATGTCCCCCAAACCAAAGAGTAAACCCAACCCCGAAATTTACTTCCCAGAAACGGAACCAAAACAAAGTGGACATGAATAAAGCAAAGGCAAACCAGTTCACACCTTAATTAACAATTAATATTATTATTTCAACAGAACCAATACAAAACACTTTACACACAAATTCAATTTACGAGAATACCAATATACCATGATAGATTACCAGAGAGTGACTGGTGGGGCGAGCAGGGGGTATAACAAAAAGTTCATAGTTTTTGTCTTGGTGGTTGCTCTATGATGACTCCGGTGATGAGCAGCAGGAAAAGGGGAAAGGGGTTCCTCTAACGGGTCCTCCCGTTAGGCAGCTAGTATGGTCAGTACGCCGTACTCGTGAGTTCACGCACGTCGGATCAGTACCCCCGTGAAGTGACGTCAGGGTCCGGTAACTCAGACCCAAGTCTCTTGTCCGACGAAGTCGCCAAACCCAAACCAGGCAGCACCCTAGCGGTGCAAACTCCAAACTTCCTTGAAGCTCCAATCTGCTGTCCAGTCGACGAGCGACATTCAGGGGGAGATCATCAGACAGCAGACTCCCGGTCTTGGTCTTCAGGCGCGTGCCCCGGAGAAAACTCCCCAACAGCCGGCAGTGGGCACAGTCGTGAAACTCACGGTCCTCTCCGTCCGATGGTATGGGATGAAAGGCACACCCCAAAGCTCGACGATCCATTTTATATGGGGACGAACATTCCAGGCACACCCGATGCATACCGTAAATTCTATTACTTTCCGCTCTCCGAATTTTTAACGATTGTTCATTCTAATTTGCATATCTAAACTGCTCGCCCCAATTGGGTTAAACTGCTCGCCCCTTGAATAGTTGAAAAGGTTTAAGACATCGTTCCAGCCACTATTTTCTTGAACAAGAAAACCGATATTATGTAATACAGTTTTACATTCCACCAATAAATAATACAATTCTACAACTCTGGAATAAATATTAATTATACATCATCTTAACAAAACACATTAAAACAAAAACTGGAAAATGAATGTCGCGATGATGATAAGTTGTCCACTTGCCCACTGGCTGGATCCGCCACTGTCGACACAATTCTCATCATCTGAAAGAATAAACAACCACAATTACCCAACTGCAGTAGTGGCGTAAATCCATGTCGGCAAAAAGGGGGAGGGGAAATGATCAAACTCAAAATCATACAATTGGGGGACAACTTCACAAGGACATTTTTTTTGGGGGGGGGGTGTCAAAATAAAATCGTAAGCCTGTGAACGCGCGTGCGTGCCCATTGTCTATGGTCCGGAAAAATATAAATAAGAGCAGCTTAGAAGTGTACTCGTTTTTATGAATGAGAAATGCATCAAACAGCAGAATGGTGTATTTATTACAAATGTACAAAGACATTGGATTGGCTGCACACTATCTACGGCTGTACTGTATAAATGCATGTGTGACGTGTTTTGTCTACTAGAGTACCAATATGTTTATAATGCTTTCATTAGCCCAAAATGTGTCCACATATTAAGAATCTTAACACCGCAGAAGATAAACATAATTTATCTATTTGTTGATAAAGTGTTTGTAGAAAACTGGGTGGGACATGAACAAACTGGGGCGGGGGCAAATGCCCCCATGCCCCCCCCCCCCCCCCCCCCCGCAACTGGGGGATATTTACGCCCTTGAAGTTGTACCGAAGGCACATGAAAATACCATTTACTACATATCGCTTGACGTAGATCAAAGGCGGACCCAGAACCCCATTTTTTTGGGGGGGGGGGAAACAAATTTTGGTCCTCAAAAAAAGTGGTTCTCAAAAATTACGGCGTGGGGTACGGGGCCCGCTAAAGTTTTGGATTCTAGATGCTCTGTGGTGCGATTTGAGGCAATTTCTGACGACTTCAACCAATTTCTTTTAGGAAAAGATGGTGGTGTACGCAGTGCCTGTCTTTATTGCGACTTCCCTTAAAAATAAAATAAAATTGGGTTCTTTTTTCGGGAGGGGGGGGGGCACATGGCCCCCTTTGGCCCCCCTGGATCCGCCCTTGACGTAGATATTATGTTCTTACCCAACATTGCCCGAAGATCCTCCACGTAATTATTCCAGAAGTAACATTGGTCACTCCGGAGAGCTCGGCTTGTAGATAGGTTCAGGTCAAGCACCTTGTACTCCAAACCGGGACTGCTGAACTCGGGCCAGATGTACTGTGAAATCGGCGGAGAACTCGGGGACTCCTTGCTTGGATCACTGATCAAAAACAAAACAGCGATAGTTTGAAAAAAATCCAATTGATTTAGCCATTAGTCCGGTCAGACCGGTTACGTAAAATACTGCCTGAAACACTATGGTCATCAGTAATAGTTATTACGATGGACGCAAAGACATCATTATTCCATATTACCGAGGTCAAAACAATCTATCTTGACTGCTGCACAAGAACATTTTCTGAGATGAAACGGTACAAAATAGCACAAGGAGATGTTCAATCAATGACAACTTGTGCTTGAAAAAGAACTATTTGGATGAGTCTCCATGTACAGGCCGCAACATGAGCACGCAAAACTTGGCACATTGGGACGGGAACCATTTTGTTCCCAGTTACTTTTAGGTGATATAGCCATACAACAATCGACCGTTATGCTTACCGATGCCAAGTGGCAAAGCTTTAACAGTGAAAAGTGCAACAGTATTTTCCTAGAAGTAATGGTCAGTCTGAAATAATGGACTTAAAAATATACTGCAACATTAGAAAAACATGAGAAAGACGCTTAGGGGGCGGTTTGCCAGTCGGTATGTATACCAATTAGAGTACCGTAAGACTTGTTGAGTATCACAGTGCTCACGTAAGTTACATTCTTAGTTACTCACCCACTCTTGGCAAAATTAGTCCACAATTTCATGAAGTTGACAGAGAGTACTTTCTCATCGTCTGTTAGATAAGCCCAGAGGCTCCCTTGCGCGAACGCCCCACCGAAGACGAACGCGAGTTCTTCCGCGTGACCCGCCCCGATCCAGCGAGGTCCCGGCACAACTCCGGCATAGTTATAGTAGGACACGGTCGGAACGTGTGTCATCAAGTAGCGGTACACTTTATTCTTTGACGAATGATGTCGGGCGGTTGTGTCGACGGTGCATGTGAAGAACAGGTCTCCTGCTAACTGCATAAGTGAAGGGTAGTAATCCGCGTCTTCGTACTCGGCTTGCGACCAGTCAATGTACCTCATTTTGGTGGCATTCAACACTGCTCCTTCACCGACAGCTGTGAAAGCAAAACAAAAGCCCCAAATGTACTGATTACACACAGTACTTAGTTGAAAATAAGCAAAGAAGAAGCTTCTGAAGAAGTCCTTGCTAAGGATGAACTATCAAACCACTGTTCTTTTTTGACAGTACTAAGTTGAGTAATTTAATACTGTCTCGATTCACACTCATCAGGCCGGTGAAAGGTTTCCTCGCATTGAACGACGGAGAATTATCATCTATTCCTCCAGGATGGATGTCTAACAGACGGTGACTCCTTTGTGCACTGCCTGAATATATCCCTACCATCTAATTTGTTCTACTCTACGGTGAATAGAAGTTCCATTGCACAATCACAATTTTGGCAGCTCTGACCAATCAGATGACGAGGATTTATTCAGGTGTTGTGTAAAACAAATAATGAATGCACATTCATGCAATGGAAAAATACTTTATAAAGGGAAAACGGTTGAAGAGATATATCTTTAAAAAATGTACCGAACTTTCTTAAAACCTACCGAATGTCTTGAAGGTGCTCGCAAGGAGCTCATCAAACAATGTCCTGTTGACAAAGGGCGGGTCTGGTTGAGTCAGGTACTCGGCAAACATGGGGTTGGACGCAAAGAAAAACGTTCCCTTTTCAGCATTTGAGCCTATGAGCATCGGCACGTGGTTGTATGTTCCAGAGGCGTACGCTTCCAGCGGGGTCATGGTCAGGAATATACCGTCGACGACAGGATAAATCCATTCATAAATCTGAAATTCACAAACAGTTATGACTTAGGACTACTTCCGTGGGCACAATGTGGCGTTTCAGTGGCGTATCCCAAAACGTTGGCATGCCAGGGAAGTCTAGGTATGGCATCTTGATTCGATAAGTTGTACCTCGTTAGGCTATCCTGGACGCCGGGTGCTTTGTTTATCGGAGAATGTTAAACAAAATCCTTGCAATTTGCAGTTAGCACAGGGGTGACTGAAAGTGATACAGCGCAGTCAAGTTCCCACCTCGTGTAAAATAACAGGGGACTTTTGCATTAAAGTGTAAAATTTAGGGTTTTAAGCTGAAGGAAATCAACATTGGTGATGTCATACCGCTAATTGAGCCTGTATAAGATCATTGCCGTCTACATCTTGCAGACAGGTTATCAGAGCTGCGCTGTCCGAGGTACTGCAGCCAACAGTCTCGCCCAACTGGAAGGCCTTCTGGCGGAGCACCTTGTCACATTCTTCGGTTAATGGCCCAACATCTGGCGAAATTGGCCCATTACTCTACAGAAAAAATATCAATCTGGTCATCATTACGTTCCTTACATTGGTAAGATATGCATCATTGTAACGATCCAAACGAATTAGGCTGTCTTAGAATTCCACGAAGAATACGCTTAGTGCTAAGATTTTATTTAATAGCCGTCATTTTTTTAAACGTACCAGCAGTTACAAGTAAACGCGGTTGCGAGAATCATTTGGGCAGTCTTTGGATAAAAATCCTATCATATCACCAAAGGTTTACACGGTTTTTAACACATATACACGGACCCAAATACCTATAGATGGTGTCAAATGTATAGGCTTGGGATTATAATCAATGTCGTGATTTTCAAAATTATTTCTCGGTGACTGTTTAGCCTACCTGTATTATTGCTTGACTGAACAACCCCTTAGCCATGTCGGACAGCACGAGGAATCCGACCATTTCTGCTCCAGCACCCTCACCGAAGATCGTGACCCGCTGCTTGTCGCCGCCGAATGCTGTTGGACAGAGAATGCATCTCGAATAGTAATGAAAAAAGTTTGTGTTTGAGATACAGTTATAGTTTGCCAACCTTATTTACTTTCCGGCATTTGAAAATCTAAGCTATAGTGGCTACGTAGACTCTGCATAGAGGGAACTTGTAAGCCATTTTTTTTCAAAGATTAGCAGTTTTCACTTCCTTTTCCAGCATAATGGACAGGGGCGTAAATCAAGGGGGGGGGGAGGGGAAGAAGGTGTGGGTATAATTATATCCCCCACTTTTTGACCGGGGGATGGGCTGTTAGTTCACCCCCCCTTTTGTCGTGGTGAGATTTAGAAACATGAAAGGCGGATTTTTCGAAAGGTATTTTTCCAACTTTCCAACAACCACAATGTATTCAGTAGTACTGAAAAATGGAGGAAAAGTACAAAAGCTTTAAATACGCTGTTTTGATGTAAGGTTAAGGGGCGTAAGTATACATAAGTTGTACATCGGTCTAATCAACAGCGCCCCTATTGTCATGTGGTGCCCAGCAAGCCCCCCCCCCCCACGCTTTTCGAATGTCCACGGCTGGGCTTTGTAATTTTAGTAATAACCCGTTCTGCAGTCACCGGCACAGATTTACGCCACTGATGCCGGATATGTAAATATCGACTACTTGTTTTTTTCCCCCGTTAAGATCAAGGACTCAGCACGTCTTGAACATGCTTTTCATAAATCAAGGACGCTATTATATGTAAACTAGCTTATCCTCCTACCTTCTATGTTCTGTTGGACCCACTTCAAAGCCATGACATTATCCCACAGTGCCACATTGCCTGGCGATGCTTTGTCATCTGCAGTCGGGAGAAAATTGTTTGTAAAAGATGAGGTGCTGATATCAGGTCACTACTCTCTTGCAAACACGATTGCTATACAACAAAATAAGCCTGAAGGTGTGGTGATGGTGTATTGTTATTTATGCTCAAAATAGCGGATCGTCTGCTAGTTCGCTGCTCCCACTCATTTGCGAAAACATGGTACAAATAGCGTGGATACCAACGATACAAGCGTTTCACACTGCACCGTACGTACCGTACATGCAAAGTCATAGCACACTGTGATATTCCAAAGGGAGTGTGCATTGACCTTTTATTAACTGAACACGAGATCGTTCTAGGCCAACGAAAATAAAGTATTCAAGACAGAGGTATAACAATGGTATTTGCTATTAGCATTTCAGAACCTTCGTACTCAGAAAAGAGATTTAATTGTCACATGCATGGTGCCACCGTAAATCTTTATCTCATGACTTTCTTTGCCCATTGATGTGTGTCGTTTCCTATGAGGCAGAAGGGGAATACTCTCCCTTTTGTTATTTGTGTAGCATTGACAGGAATGTGTATTCATCAGTGAGCTCACATTATGAGGACCTCATGCAGCCATGGTCTTGAATAAGGGTTCTTGGGCGAAAACATCTTACCTGTTGACAGAAATCCGAAGACGCCTAAGCGATAGTTGACGGTAACTACAATGACGTCACCCACAGCAGCCAATGGCAGCCCATTATAGACGGATTCTATTGCAGACCCAAACGTGAATCCACCGCCATGGATCCAGACCATAACAGCAGCTCCCCCAGCCTTAAAACAGAAACAAAAACAGTTTACGTGCAGTGGACTGTGGTTTATACGGTAAATGAGAATCAGGGCTTGCATGTACCGGTACATGGTTATGAACTGGAAGATTATTTCACTAATTGGCATGTTGCAGTCCATGAATCCAATGCTCAAACAAAGCCTGATTTAATTGAGCTCATATCAGGAAGTGTAGCTGAACCTGATAAGTCGAATGAACATGACCCAGTTGTACATGCAGTTGATTCGGTATCATCACCATGTGACAATGCATTTATCTCTAAACAGGGTAGCGCCGTCAATCATAAGCCCTCAGTTAGAAGACTTGTTCAGGATTTCAATTTGACTGTCCCCGAGAAGTCTCATTTTTCATCACCTCTCTTTAAAACATTTATACGACAGCAGTTGACTGTAGACAGTTTCTTTCCATCTGATGAAGAAAAAGTCTGTGAAAGAAAATTGGAGCGTGACGTTTTCATGCATATAATTGAGAGGTATGTTTCTGTCGTCAAATTCACAGAGCACTATGTACCCGGTATGAAATGTAATATGATGCTGCATTCAAAACCTCGATGTGAACAGTCCAAATTTGCATATTTACATGTCTTAAATGAAAAGGCTGATTGCACCCAGACTCTTAAATCGGTGATTGGCCTTTTGTATGACTTGTTTAAAGTGTCAAAATCAATCAATCACCTCGTTCTAGCTGGGGATGGAGCAACAGTAAAGATATTGCTTGATGTGAAAAAGGAGTATGGAGACATACTTGACTGGGTCATTCCATATGTAGGAGACTGGCATATATTAAAAAATTTCCAAGAGGTGTTGATGAAAATATTTTGGGATGCTGGGCTCAAAGACATTGCCAAGACAACGCATAAAGGCAACACCCTGACCAACTTAAAATCTGGTGGAAACTTTAAAAGAACACACCGATTTTTGCTTCAAGTTTATGAGGCAATATATATTTATCAGTTCAAGTGTTTCCTTGATTTTAGACAGGGTAAACCAGATACACTGTGCACCATCGATAATGAAGAGTTACACAAAATTGTCCAAAATGTTGTGGATCTAGTGCATGTTCAAGGTGACTTCTGTGAGTATGCAGGGATGGAGGAATTTGTTGCCAGGATACATGTAAGACTCCATGAGTTTTTACCAGCCTTGCTTAATGAGTTTTCCGAGTTTTGTAATACTATGGCAGAAAAATATGAAACATTCAAATTCTGGAATAGATTCCTGAAAGAAGATTGTTTTGGCTACATACAGTTGTGGATCGCCATAAGAACTGGCGATTGGAATATGCGTCAGGTTGCCCTAAAGAAAATGGTTCCTTTGTTCTATGCCTTTGACAGGCAGAATTATTCAAAAATTATTCCTGTTCATTTAAGTCACATGCATGGCCTTCCAGAGTACATACTTGACCACTTTAAGAATGGAGGTTTTGTATCTAGCATACGTGGGGTGAATTTTTCCTCTGTTGGTTTTGATGAAGCTCATGAAATGCTCATAAACAAGGATTGTAAAATGGCATTGTCTCGAGGATTGCCAACAAATATGGACAAGATTACAGGAACAATAGAATTTCAAGCCCGTCTTGTTGATAATTTTCAGCAGCAAATTTCATTTCACTCTTCATTGGGACATCTTCAAAGAGATTTTTCTCCTTCTGTGATCAAAGCTGAACTGGAAAATGTGAAAACTTACTTTTCTAAGGCTAGCGAAAGCATTATCTTTCAGAATGATCAGCAACCAATTTTGATGCACGCCTTTGAAGCTAAACCTGCCTCAAAGGTTCAGCAAAAAAGTTTGTTATCGTACAGAGATGTTGGACTGTCGTCATATGACAATTACGTTCGTTTCTGCATTTTGAAAGAGTCCAGTTTAGCTAAACCTGTAACAAGGAAACATCGTCTTCGAACTTTTGCAAAGGAGAAAGTCACAAAGCGAACAATTAATTACCTGGAAAAAGAAAAAAAATTAATAACACTCTGTTATAAACGGACAATCGCATTTTCCGAAGAACACAACCAGCCTATCAATCAATTGCTCCAATTTATTGAAACACCTAGAGCTCTTTGTACTCCATCTGGTTTACCCTGCAAAGGTGCTAAGTATGTGATGTATGGCCTTCTTGGCAAGAGGTATGCAGGGACATGCTCACCTGTGAAAGATGCATATGTTTTCCCCTCAGGCACATGTTTAATAGCAGAAGGTATGAATATTATTTATTCAAATCCCCTGCCAGGCTTCAAAACCTTTGTAGAATATGCTCAGATGATTGTGTCAAGATGGGTGACGCCATTTTTTAAGAAAAAAATATATGGAAGTGCGCATCCTTTTTGATCAAGTATGCTCACAAGGTATATCTCCCAAAAGTTTTGAAAGGCAAAGAAGGGACGCTGGGATAGACGATGAAGTAGAAGTTTATTCACTCATAGCTGACAAAACTCCTCTCCCAACAAGTTGGTCAAAGTTTCTGAAAATAAGGCAAAATAAACAGAAACTTTGTAAATATCTATCACACAAATTTTTAGAAATTGTCCCATCCACTTTACAGTCATCTGATCAACTTTTTGTTACATCGGGCGGCTTCATAGATGATGAGTCTGTCACACATGATATGACAGGAATGTGTGTTTCTATGAATGGAGTAGTCCCACATGAAATAATTCATAATCATGAAGAAAGTGACACCCAAATCTGCTTACATGTAAGAGAAACTGCATGTCCAACATATACTCATTAGATCGGGATATAGGTATGATTGGATTGCCGTTTAATTTTCGTAATAAAATTGTTGTAATTCAATTCAAGGCCTCTTCAACAGAAGAAAAATTTCTTGGTATTGATGTTCTCAGATCTGCTCTTTCAAGTGATACAGACCTTGCGCCTTTATTGAAACAAGGACACGATGTTCATAAGATAATCCAAATCTTATATATTGTTACTGGCTGCGATTTTGTTTCTTACTTTGCACGGCTTGGGAAAAGTACCTTTTTGAAAGTATTTTTTCAGTTTTCAGGTTTTATATCAGGAAGTTCTCTACCGGAGACATGTGGTCAGCTATCTTTTACTGATCTTCATGTTAATCATGAGCTTGGACTGCTATCATTTTATAGATTAGTTGGTTGTGTTTATTTCCAAGCAAATCGTGCTTCTTTAAATCAACATGCCAGTAATCCTGTCGAGCTTTTCAATAGTATTGAGGCGTCAACAGTATTTGAACATCACTGTAAATTTCTGTCCATTATCCGCAAAGCATCTTGGCAGGGTGTTTATGAGGATACATTGCTACCCTCTGACTCTGCACTGTCCTTCCATTGGCTGAGATCATGTTGGGTAAGCCAAGTGTGGGGCACAGCAATGCAGCCGATGTTCAATTACCCAGACTTAAATCTGTATGGTTGGCAACATGATAATGATTCTGATGAAGTACAGATTGTATGGGATTCACCAGCAAACATGGACAAAATTTGTAAAAATGTATTGCACTTAACAAGAGGTTGCGCATGTGCCAAAAGCAAGTGTTTGACGAAACAGTGCAAATGTAGGAAAATTAACAAAGCATGTGGGCCTGGATGCACATGCAGAAATTGTGGTAATTTACCTGTATCAAGTGTACATTTGCCTACACCAGAGCCTGTTATTTCTGATGATGAGTCTCTGCTCTCTTGCTCATCCAGCAGTGATGAAGAGTTTGTAGACAATGACGTTTCTGTGCCTTCTAATGATATCGGTGATCTAACCGACAGTTTCTTCTCTGAAGACAGTATGTCAGAAGATGAGCTTTGAAACTACAAATATGTATCTTAGGCCTGATTACAATATCAATGAAAAGTGGTGAATTTCTTTTGTAATCTGTTAAATGTTTTAGTGTGTTGTCTTTTAAACACTTGTAGCGTACAATGTAAGTAGTAGAGCTTTTATTTTCATTTATATTCTAGCTAAATGTTTAGTGTAAAACCATTATTCTGGCACAAGTTCAAGTAATTTAATCGGTATAATTCAAATACACTTCATTATGTTAATTCAAAGGGAGTAAAATGAAGCGGGTTATGTAATTTGAATGCAAACTTATTTTAATGCATGTGAAATATTTTGGTTTTATGTTCTGAAACTTGCTGCGGTTTACTTTGTTGTTAATATTTCAAGTCTTTCAGGTAAAGCAAAGGTGCTATCTTACTTAATTGCCAGTACAGCAGCTGAGTTATTAATGTGTGCTTCAACTATAAATACTCTTTGCTAATTAAGTTGTTTAAATACCAAAAAGAAAGTATTCAAAACTATTTATTTATGCATTGCAAAATATCTTAGACGAGTACCATTTACTCTATACGGGTTTCCAAGTAAACGGTTGTATTGGAAGTTAAAGTGAACATTATGACATATATTTTTTATTTTAGTTTCATATCCACTGTACATGCCATAAGTTTAATTTTCCAAGAGAAAAGACTTTTTATCATTTTATCATTAACTGTGTTTATGTATAGTTGAGTTTTTGATGCAGACTTGTTATTGTGTATGTGTCAATCATGCAGTTATTGATTCTGCACTTTTTTTCAGAAACAAAACCACCGGTATGGTTGATATATGATGGAGATTGTGATAATACATGTACATGTACTTGCGTACTAATACGGGTAATATGATTTCCAATCAGTGTGAAATGCAGTTTTTTTGGCCGGTGTCAGACTGTTTCATTTTCTTTATGAAACTTTTTAGTTACTCTTAAATTTTATGGTACGAAATGAATACAGAGTGTGCACAAAACAGCAGGGTAAAATATTGCAGTTGGTGATAAAGAGGTTTTCTATAGTGTCAATTTTTTTATGTTTTGAATTTGTGTAATGTAACAATGTTGTTTGTAACGAAATAAAAGAGTTAACAGTCGAAAAAAAAAGATTTCAGATTTACTTTCTCCTTCATTGCAAATGTTCACATTTTGGGGTGGGGTGAGATTCCAGACATGTTTTCAGTTAAGATATATGACTGCCGAAAGGATAGCTTTAAAAATGAAATAATAAATAATAAAACCAATTTATAAGTAAGGTGATTGTTACATCAGTATCCCCCCAAAACTTCCCAAGTTAAAACAATTCTGGACAGAAAACGATAAACAAATCCATAACTTGCACACGAACTACATGTTTACATGTACATCCGGGAATTGTAAGAAGCGATTGCCTCGACCAATCAGCGAGCAGGAAAATTTCCTGCGATCATGGCGGCATGATCGCTTCGATGTTTTCGGAGATCGCTGGAAAATCGATGTGCCCTGACCCAGGTAAACAGGCAATTGTTTAAATACGTACTGATTTTGGAACAATATGAAATAATCTGTCTATTTTGTGTGAAGACGAGTTGTGGTGCCATTGAAAAAAGATGAAAATTCTACGATTTTTGTCATACATATTTTGTCGTTTTGAGACCTACATTTCAAAGACGTTTTACACCAATAAATAACACATACTGGTAATAAAATAACCATTGACATTAATGTACAGTATTCAATTCATCATTAAACAACCTTTTTGAAAGTCAAAACCCACTGAAATAAGCACAATCGGCGAAATTCTTTAAGATACCAGAGTTCATGAATATTCATTAATCAAGGGTAACGCACGACGAACTATGAATGCGTAGCAAATAAATTGAACGGCTTGTGCGTGCAGTGCGGACTGACTGTAAAACAAATCTACAAATGAAATTGAGCCATTGTCACAGCTGATTCTGATTAAGCATAACTTTTCTAACTATTCTAAGTTTCCACAGCAGGACCATGATTGTCGTTGCAAATTGTACAGTTAATCTTTTGTAATCCTAACTTAATCCTCTACACTGGCCAGTAGACTTTTGTTGTTCAGCCTGGGCTTGGTGCTGGAATTTAGTTGGCGAGCTTGAGTGCTTTCCAGTATGCGGTAAATGTGGGTGTTGGCTGATATAAGACGGAGCAAAGTGGGTGTGTGTGAGTATTGCTATACATGCTATTGTTGCGTTAGCACTGTGTTTTGGAGTGCATGCTGGCGTAGCCATTTTTGGCAGCTTGTGCCGTCCCTCGGCCATCAGCATAAAAGTTGCAGTTCTGTGAGGTTCTTAGGTGTGGCTCGGACAAGCATAGGTCAGCGTGACAATTGGACAATCATAAGTTACATTTCCTTTTGTTGTTTCTCCATTATTGCTTGAATTATTGGTTATTGAGTATTGGTTGTTGTTGCTTGAACAAGCCTTGAAATATGTGAATATGTTTTCTTTGGAGAAAATACTGGCATCGAGTTGGTTAATTATTTTAATTAGAGATGGTCCTTATATGGATGTACCTGAAGTTGATGTACTTGTGATGTACTACCTGGCCCTATTAAGTGGTGAATTCTGAGGGTTGGTCCCATGACCGCCGACTTGCAACGCCATGTCCCTCTGACTGGATTGGCCCATCTCTGACCTAGACGATGAGAGCGGGATACCTACCGCAGATGTGACAAGCCCTATCAGCAAAACTTCAACAGCATATTGATTTAGAATCGTATAGTTTCTTAATGATACTTTTTGCACTTTGATCACCTGATATATTTACGCACATTTTGAGTGTACCATTTCATATAAATTAATAGTTTGATGCAACTATTTGCCTGGATATTAAGAGCATTATTTTGTGCATATACTCTTGTGTATTGCTGCACAGGTGCTGTTGTTTGGATGTACATGTATAATTTGTGAATATTGTGTATTGATGTATTGATGTAACCTGTGGTGTCCAGCTACATGTAGCAGTGTTCTTTGACTTAAAAGGAATGGAGATTGTTGAATTGGTTTAGTTTAATATTTGTGAGAAAACCCCAGGAATTGTCATTCTATGTGATTTTGATTGAATCGTTGAATTGGATATTGACTTGTAGGTTTTGAATAGGAAAGTTTTAAGCAGCCAGTGATGTTTAGGTGAACACAGAACGGATTGTTAATAGTGTGGATTTATGGATTGAATTGTTAATAGTGTGGATTTATTGCTAGGCACGTACATATATATACTGGATGCTGATACTGACCGTAGATATTTGATTGTAGATATTGAATTGGAAGTTTGAATCGGTCAGTTGTATTTGCTGTGAAAAACGGAAAGTAGATTGCTAGATATTTTAAACAGTGAATTTACTTACCTGCTATAATTCCATTGCATAAACTGAATTGATATTTTGAGGTGGTTTTATATGTACCTATAAGCTGATTATTAATACGATTTCATAACGAAGATTTCCCCTTGACATTTCAGAACGTACGATTTTGATGTTGTGTAAATTTGTCAAATAAATTTGTAAGAGTAATTTGTAAATATAAAGGATATAGTTCATTTGTCTTATTGTGAGAGTCCCGGCAAATGTGACAGCCATATTTAGGGTTCATGACAAGCTTAAGAAGAATTGAGACCGCTAACTTGTCCAAGCATGTGTGACTCGCATACCTACGACAGACACCCCTTCCTTTTCTGTTAAAACATATAATGGACATAAAAACATTCTCGGGCCTATGTGGCGAGTATCCTCCAACTTCGACTCACCATCCGTTGATTGGGTGCGAAGACATTGAGATAAAGACAGTCTTCGTTTATCACCAAACTCAACCCGACGTTACGATCTTGAAGACAAGCAGGCCTGAAGTAGGTTGCAACATAGATGCCACTCCACTCCGTCTTCTCTACCGGAGGCTTGAAGCGCAGCTCACCGAGAGGCGGCTCAGCAAACGGTATCCCCTTGAAGACATCCACCTTCGTGCCTCCTGCTCCTGTGAACTCATCTTCTATGAAGATATGGGTTGTGCCCTTGATTGCACCCTGCTGCACCGTAACCACGGGCTGGGATGTTGTGGCTACTACTAAGCTGCGGATGATCAGGAACACAAAAAATGTCTTTCCAGTCATCGTGTTGATGTGCAGAATGTTCCCGTTGAGATATCGGTGTGTTCTATTCCATAATGGCGACTCCACCCACTGACACTGCCAAAAATGTGTTCATTGTATGGCAATGATTAATAACGATCTGTTGATAAGTAACATTTTCGACACATACCAACGGTAGTTTAATGGGGCACATCGTCCTGAAATCGCCAATATTATGTTTAAGATTTTTACTTATTTCAAAGCTCTGTTTGAAAGGAAACTTACCTCATGTCGCAATGTTTTTGGAAAATAAAAACCCAACACAGTGCCATATTTTCAATGGGGAGCGCTGATAAATTCCTACAATCAGGCATACTATATTAACTAAAAGTGTACAATGCACCCTTCTCATTACTATTTATTTATGTTGGCATGTACCTCACATTCTTACATTTTGCTAGTGCATTTGTTTTTTTAAGGAATTTATTTTTGGGGGCTAGACAAAATTTGGTCACCATTTTTGAGAGAACAGAGGCCCAACATATGATTTTAGCTGTTTCTCAAAAAATAAGCCCCCCCCCAAAAAAAAACCAAACAAACAGTTTTTGAGCTGGAAAGCAAAAATACCGGCTGTACAACTTGAGAGCAGCATTTTCAAATGTCCCAAGGTACCCTACAACAGAAATAATATTAAGATTTATCATAAAATTGTGCGATTAAATGGCCCTATCCAAGGGACAATTCGTTTAAATCGCATTTTGTTGCCCAGATTGACTCTTTACAAGACGTAGTTCTCTTTAATCTTTCGACTGTGCGAAATACCGTATTTTGCATGATATATCGTTGCCTGGATATCGATTGCCCTTTGCCTTGACAGTGATTATACTGCTGCAGCTTCGAATGCCTGTCATTGTTAATTTTAGCAGTGCTGGGATAGGCCTGAGGGTGTAGGTCGATTACAAGAATTTACTTATAGTAGAGATAAATATAAACTAGGGATTCCCCAAATTAACGCTAGACATTGGCGTTTGATAACTGCATATGCTTTTCGCGCGGTACTATACCTAAAGCTGGCCTCAGGTCGACCTTGCGACGACACAGATCAGTCGGCGACTGACTTTTCAGGATCAAGCTGCGTCTGAGCTACGAGCGTCGGGAACAACTCAGTCGCCGATTTTGTGCGACCTGAGTGTAACTGCGACGATATTAAAGCGATCGGCATCAGTTGGCGCTCAAAAGAAAATCACCAGTCGCAAGAGTATAACAATTTCAACTTCTGCGATGTGTTCTGTGACCATCACAGGATTTCTCAGTTTTGTGACCTGTTTTGTTTCTGCTTGATACCGACTGTTCCGTCGTTGCGCACCTGAGGGCGGCTTTATTACAACTTGAGTACGCCATCGGGAACAGACGATAATTCTGCATAGAAGCACGGTACAGAGGGCACGCTTTGCTAAGGGGTCCGAAGGTATGGCCTCGGAAATGTTGAAATCTAAGATGCTCTCTCATGCATTATAAAGCAATAATTGATGAATACATTTTGGAACTATTCCCCCATCCCGATTGACTAGTATCATGACATTAGTCAGCCGCTAAATTTAATTTTGGGGTGGTTAGTTTCAACGCCCAACTCCACTAACATAAAAGTATCCACACAATGTTGCACATGTCATACTAACACTCATCATAGCTCGACCCTCAGCGAGAGTTAATTCAATACACCATCATCAAAAATTTCAATTATACCGAGGCACCCCCCCTCCAGACAGACCCGGACCATGTCACAACAGTTTTCTTATTGTCCCTACCTTGACATCAACGCGAAATCGGGCGAAATCTTCAGCACATTATCCGAACCACAGTTTTCTCTTAAAAGTACGGATAGAATATCAGTCTAGCCCCCTCTCATACCCCTATAAGTGTGTATTTGCCTTTAATCTCCTTTTTGTCCCTCTCTTGTTTGAACATTTTGGGAAGAACTCCCATATGTTTTGAACTTGATCGCCAAATTGGGGACCTTCGGGAATTTGGGCCCCTTTACAGAAACAAACTCACGCACACACCATACATACACCTTTGTTTATGGTGTAAATCGGGAATTTTCTTTTATTCCTCTTTCCTTTTCCTTTGTACTTTTTGCAACAGCTCTCATTGGTTTTGTACACGTTTTCTAATCGAGGTGGTCTCGATTTGGTTCCTGTCGTCTACCTGTCCTTGATTCACCGAAGATGTTGCACGTGCGTGTCCTCGATTTACACCATAAACAAACGCCTACCGACCATCTCACTCAGAGTGTTCTCCTAATCCGTCCCTACCTAATCCTAAAACGAAATAAGTCCTGTCCGCGTTTTTTCCCCCTGCTGCATAGGCCTACATCGTATTTTAACCAATAACCACACGCACGCTGTGTGGATTCTCGTTGTGTTTTCTTTCAATTCAAATTGACAACCTATCCCAAACAACAAAAATATATGATGAAAACGGACATGGGTTCGAACCCCACATCTTGCGATACAGGCCCCGGCCACTGTGGCAGCTCCACGAAAGCCGTTCTTTGAAATACTTTAAAATGTACATGCATGACTGAGTGATTGCAATGGTGTAACGTCATTCGTATTTTGTTATGAATAAATAGCGAACGAGCGGAATAATCATGATCCATTGAAGATATGTGCTGCAAATGAAAACCCCGCGTCCTGTCCATCCAGCCCATACACCATAACTATACACATCGCAAAATTAGAGAGGGCGCGCTTTCAGATGATGTCGCCATCACACTGACTGGTGCAGACTGTACCTATCAATGGGCCCAGAATTGACTACGCGGCCAAATCACGATTTGAATGCCCAATCACAATCTGTATATATGCCCTCAATTTCTTTGCTATTCGAGCATTTTGTGGACCATGAGCTTGAAGGTTTGTAAAAAAGATGGGCAGAACCCGTGCACAGGAGTGCGAGCTCGTACTATACAGGGTGAGTCAAAAAAAAACCCACGAAACCCAAATGTCGGGACCAATGTTTCAGTGAAGTTCTGCATGTAGCACTTTCACAATCTAGGATATAAAAGCCCAATTCATAAGCTTTCTTTTCAGTTTAAGAATCATTCTAATCACTCATGTACTTTTCAAGTTACGGAATTTTAAACACATGCACCGTTTTAAAGTTCTGTCCGCGGATTACAAAAAAAGGCGTGCGTTCTTTCATCAAAACGTAAACAATTCACACACATCCCTTTGTGATTTGTTTTCGTTTTGCTGAAAGAACACTGAACTTTTTTGTGATCCGTGGACAGAACCTTAAAACGGTGGTTGTGTTTAAAATTCCGTAACTTGAAAAGTACATAAGTGATTTGAATGATTCTTGTACTAAGCGAAAGCTTATGAATTGGGCTTTTATATCCTAGATTGTGAAAGTGCTACATGCAGAACTTCACTAAAAAATGGTCCCGACATTTCGGGTTTTTTTTTCGTACTCACCTTGAACTGTGAAATTCGGATAAAATTGGGCCCTAAAATATTGCTCTATTTTGCAATGGAGCGCAGGCATAATTTTCAAAATGGCTATGGGCTACAGGACTACTTGAAGGGGGAGGCGGGGGCTGGCCTGGCACCATCTTCCAAAATTAGGCGCGCGCTTCAAAACCTACTTCTTATTATGTTAGGGTTTTGGAGCTTGACTTTCATATTCCTCGTTCATATCAGAACTCTCTATATCATTTTGGAACTGGTTACTGAATAAAATTATCTAAAATATTAGGGCCAGTTTTGTTTTCATCTTGAGGGGGCACTTTTATGTCGGCAAGACGGGCACTTGGGTAAATCTTGGGGAGGGGGGGGGGGGGAGTGACCCCATTCCTCCGCCCCTGCTTTCAACCAGACATTTGAAAAAGATAGGTAAACGATCTTAACAACCCACCAATATCGGCGATTTCAGGACGATGTGTCCCTGTGAGTAATTCGTGGTAGACAGTGTGCTAAAGAATAACATGCAATGCAACAGAAAATAGGTCAGGTGATCAGTCTTGCTGGAACCATGAAGCCTGTGACTTGTGCTCGAATCACGTTCGTACATCGTGTGTGGCCATGTCACGCAATGTTTTAACACTACTCACACGTGCACCACAGAGCTTGGCCTAATAGATACATTTATAAATACTCATGTAACTTTTTTTTTCATTTTTCAAATGAGACTGAGGACAGTGTGCAAAGTTGACTTTTTTAATATTTCTAGTTTGGCTGCATTGCGCACGACTCATTCATCAGACGCAGCGCCCTGAAGAACGAGAACTCGGACATGTGAGGATGCGTGCGCTAAGTTAAGTCACTCGCCACGAAACAGATGCAAGAAACATTATTGATTGAAGCAATGATAATATCATTGATTGAGATGACTGTTTAAAGGTTCAATATTGAGCAAAATAAGTGGCGGGGCACACTTGAATTTAGAGGCGGTTGATGGGAATGGCGACGTTATCGTCCCCCCTCCCCAGGGCTACTACGCCACTGCCCGTAGCAAACCCGTTGTAATATGCTTTTCCGTTGTAACGCAATTTTTACCTTTTTCCCAAATGCGATTTAGTGTTCACAGCGTGATTCTGGAAATGGCATCGGGTAATAATTTATAAGATATTTTGTTTTTTTGTCAAGTATTAATTAGAAAAAAAGAAAAAATTCCAATAAACCCAATTGGTGGAGGGCAGTGCGAACTCCCTCGGGTATTTGCTATGAGCCTGAACAATATAAGACTGGAATTCTGCTGTATAAATGGGGGTGTTATTACAAGGCCAATTATCAAAAACACCTGTGTATTTATTTCAGTTTTTTTTCTTCAAAATACATTTAAATGTGTAGTACTCTCGGAGCTTGAAAATGGTCATCGTACTAAGTACGAGTATGAGTAAGAGTAAGAGTGCCTTGCCATGAGAACCAATTGCCATGAGTACCTTACCTTGCCATGAGTAACTTTATGTACCTTGTCATGAGTACGAGTAAGAGTACCTTGTTATGCATGAGAACGAGTAGGTGATGAATACGAGTACGAGTACCATGACATTTAGTACGAAATAGAGTACCTTGCCATTAGAACGAGTAGGAGTACATTGCCATGCATGAGAACGAGTAGGACTACTTCGCCATGAATACGAGTACGAGTACCATGCCATTTAGTACGAGTTAGAGTACCTTGTCATGAGAACGAGTAAGAGTACCTTGCCATGCATGAGAACGAGTAGGAGTACTTCGCCATGAATACAAGTACAAGTACCATGCCAATTAGTACGAGTTAGAGTACCTTGTCATGAGAACGAGTAAGAGTACCTTGTCATGCATGAGAACGAGTAGGAGTACTTCGCCATGAATACGAGTACGAGTACCATGCCATTTAGTACGAGTTAGAGTACCTTGTCATGAGAACGAGTAAGAGTACCTTGCCATGCATGAGAACGAGTAGGAGTACTTCGCCATGAATACAAGTACAAGTACCATGCCATTTAGTACGAGTTAGAGTACCTTGTCATGAGAACGAGTAAGAGTACCTTGCCATGCATGAGAACGAGTAGGAGTACTTCGCCATGAATACGAGTACGAACACCATGTCATTTAGAACGAGATAGAGAACCTTGTCATGAGAACGAGTAATTGCCATGGCATGAGTGCAAGGATAAGTACCCTGTCATGCGAGTACGAGAACCTTGCCATGACGAGTGCATTGCCATGACGAGTACATTGCCATGATTACGAGTAACAGGACATCAAGGGGCCGGGGATGGGCCATTGGATCGTCCCCTACTTTTCGTGTTAAGAAACAAAAAAAGAAGGATATTGAGGTAATTTTCGAACATTTTAACAAACAAAATGTATTTAACAGTACTGAAAAAAGAGCAAATAAGTACAAAATTGCTTTAAATGCGTAAGTAAACATAAGATGTACATCTGTATCATAAACAGCGCCCCCTAGTGTCATGTGGTGTCCAGCAACCAAGCCCCGGCCCCCACCCCCATCCCCCACCCCCCGCTTTTCGAATTTCCACAGCCGGGAAATTTTGTGATTTTAGTCATCCCCCAATCCCAGGCACAGATTTTAGCACCTGTGGTCATGAGTACGAAGAGTACCTTGCCGTGAGTACGATGTAAGAGTACCTTGCCATAATTATGAGTGAGAGTATGAGTGCCTTGCCATAAGTACGAGTAAGAGTACCTTGCCATGAGTACCAGTATGAGTACCTTGCCATGAGTACGAGTAAAGACTACCTTGCCATGAGTACCAGTATGAGTACCTTTAAAGTACGAGTAAGAGTACCTTGCAATGAGTACGAGTAAAAACTACCTTGCCATGAGTACCAGTTATGAGTACCTTTCAAGTACGAGTAAGAGTACCTGGCGTTGAGTACAAGTATGAGTACCTTTCAAGTACGAGTAAGAGTACCTTGCGATGAGTACAAGTATGAGTACCTTGTCATGAGTACGAGTAAGGCTGCCTTGCCATGAGTACCAGTATGAGTACCTTTCAAGTACGAGTAAGAGTACCTTGCGATGAGTACAAGTATAAGTCCCTTGCCATGAGTACGAGTAAGAGTGCCTTGTCATGAGTACAGTTCTAGGTAGCAGTTACCCAGGGTTTTACGCTAGAAGCAGAAATGTTTTGTTACTTAAAAGAAATCTTTATGCAAAACGTTCTTGCATCACATCACATTGTACAGCCCCGGATAGCAACAGGATCAAGAAGGCTTGAACGACCATCCGCAAATTCAACATGGGTTTATTGAAGCTGTTTTTTTGTCAGTTTTAACATCCTAATTTAGAAGTAAAACAAATTTTTTAAATCATCTTTTTACGCAAGTTCATGATTTTCATTGAAATTCCGGCAGAAAAAAATCATTCTTAAAGAGGTTGTGGAATGCTCGAAGACATTTCTGTCATTTTTCGGGTATATGTAGCCAAAGGTGTGATGAAATAAAAGCGACTATTGTTTCTGTCATAAAATGAGTACAAAATGTACTTTTGAGAGCTGTTTTTCAAGTCCTGTTATGCCTGTTTCGACCCGAACGTGCCATTTGTGTAAAAGTCGTCGTTGCGGGCAGCAAACAAAACACAGTAAATCGTGACGTAATAAATAGGACTCTTGATGTAGAGTAGCATATACGAGTCCTGTTTATTACGTCACGATTTACTGTGTTTTGTTTGCTGCCCGCAACGACGACTTTTACACAAATTGCACATTCGGGTCGAAACAGGACCTGAAAAACAGCTCTAAAAAGTACCTTTTGTACTCATTTCATGACAGAAACAATAGTCGTTTTTATTTCATCACACCTTAGGCTACATATACCCAAAAAAATGACGGAAATGTCTTCGAGCATTTCACAACCTCTTTAACTATTAGCAAACTATGAAGACCCACCCTTAAACTGGGCTGGTTAGGCTCTGTTATAATATGACAAATCTTTGATTTTTTCGTCTCTGTTGAAATGTTTTTGCCTATTGCATCACGCTTATTGAGAAGCTGGCTTTTTAACCACACTGTCTGTCAAGTTAATCATAGACCCAAACAATGGTCATGACAAGGTCGAAAAAAGTTCACTTTTGTCCACTTAGATCTACTAAACCAAATTTAAAGTTGGTTGAACTTATACCAGCGCCGTACTTGGACCTGCTCAGGATTCCCAGCCTCATACTTATCTAGTCTGTGAGTTCTCTGACGTTGTTTGTCACATTGAGTTATAAGCCATACGATCAAAGGCCCGTATGTTCATGGAGTACTTTGGTTTTGGGCGGATGGGTTCCACGAACTTGAGCGCAGTGACATGGCGTGCGAACGGTGTTCATTATCTCGTGTCATGGCCACACACGATGTTAACGTTCACGTGATTCATAAACACGAAACACGAAACAGTTGCAAAGTTAATCACGTGCCGTACCTGGGGTAACAAACCCTCTCATCCGTACTATCAAACAATTCTGGCGATTCACAATGCAGTGCGTCACCAAAAGTTTGCCACGGAAGGTTAATTTTTCGCAGTGCATTGTGGGAGATGGTCGACAAATTCGCAGCGCGGAACATTTGAAATTGTTCGTTTTTCCGGTCAGTAGTTTCGTAATCGTGTTTTTCGAGGATATTTTTTTGCCCTATTTCTTTCTTGTTATCAATACGGTGGCTTTTTGGGGGTAAGGTGGCAGAACGCTATGCCGGGCCCCAATCTATAACGAATTAGCTCAAGTTGTCTACAGACACTCATTCAAATGGGCCATGTTTTGTCGACCATAAGCTTTAAAAATGGACTCACCATGGCAAAGTCTTGGTAACGCACTGCAGTCTGAATCGCCTGAGTTAGGACCGTGTCTAAAACTTTCAGATTGCCAGTTAGCATTTTATTATTGCCCATAACATTGATGATTCTCGCAATTAGTACTAAACAAAAGTGTATGTAAACAGACACCGCAGGCACTGTGTGGCCCTCTATACAAAGGTTCACAGGGTGCAGGTGTAGTGGAGGCGTTGAATGCTTTTCCCTCTTTTTTGCCATGAACTTATTTCTATAAGCAAAAGGTAACAGAGAGTGCAACGGGTAGATAGCTTGCTGTCCTCGTGGCTCGTGTGCTATATTTAAACCAATACTCGACAGACTTGAACAAAACAACAATAGCTGACCTTGTCACCGGTGGCCTATGAAATTATAAAGTCTATAGAAATCCGGTTCTATACAATTAACGTTTGGATTCGTAGCCGGTGTAGCGTGAATATCCAACTCCATGAAATATGGACTTATTGGTAGTATTGCGCAGGCGTTAATAGCATATTTATAGGCCTATATACGTAAGAGAGTGTGTGAGGGATTAACAAATAATAGGGAAAAGGAGTCCGATTTTCATAGGAGTCGGATTTTCATATGACACCGGCCCCGCGTTAATGACATTGTGCGTGTGAGTTCTCTCAGTTCATTGCGCATGGGGCATGCGCAATACGGTAAGAGGTCCGTGGTTTGTGTGGACAAGGTTAGTTATTAACAGAGCCATGGCAGAACGCATTGCCGTGCCTTTACAGACTGTTATCATTTTGCACACATTTTCGTACTGTTTTGCACACGATGAACATTTTCACGTGATTTAGATTACAGCCTGTGGGGCACGGTACACGAACCTGGAACGCTGTTCATAAAAAGGAACGTGTTTCGTCTGCATCGTCACTTTCGAAGCGCTAGCGAGTGAACGTGCATCAGTGTAACAACTAGAATTTTTTTGTCGAAGCAAACGTCAACTTCACAATGAGTAGACACACATTCTTTGTGTTTCTGTTGGGTAAATCCCTGATCGTCCTCAGCTTTTTAGTAGCAGTCACAACTTCCCAGCCCAGGGTGACCGTGGAGCAAGGTGTAATTGAGGGCACAACCGAGACCTTTATGGAAGATGAGTTCACTGGAGCAGGAGGCACGAAGGTGGATGTCTTCAAGGGGATACCGTTTGCTGAGCCGCCTCTCGGTGAGCTGCGCTTCAAGCCTCCAGTACAGAAGACGGCATGGAGTGGGGTCTTTGATGCCACCTACCTCAGGCCTGCTTGTCTTCAAGATCCCTTCTACGCTTACACGTTGGGTTTTGAGATGGACGAGGACTGTCTTCAGCTCAATATCTTCGCTCCAAACCAACGAGTGGTGAGTCAAAGTGGGAGGATTGTCCTTCCGTAAGCATGGGCTGACGTCAGAATTACCTTATTTTAATGTCCTCGTCATCTAGTGGATGAATGGGGCAGGGGTTGTCAGTCTAAGTGCAAGTCACATAGGATAAAGCAACATTAGGCCAAAAAAAATATACGGTCTCTGGTCAGACCGAAGTTCCGGAATTGACGCGGCGACGCGGCTTTTTTTTTTCAAGCTTGGATTGTACAGACAAGGTGGTCTGCCTCAGTGCTTTCGATCATTTGCCTTGGTGCAATTTTCCATTCCTTGGTGCTCTTTAGTAAAAAAAAAATGAGGAGGTGCGGCAATAGAGGGCGCTGTTGGAGCTACCGCGGAACATTTTGGAAAAAAAAAAGATTGACGCGCATGATTAAAATCGACACGCGCGCTGACCAGAGACCAACTTATTTTTGTTTCATAGTAGGCTGTGAATGTCACCGTATGGAATGTTGGATTGATCTGTGATGTACTAAGTGATGTTATTATTTTCGACCTCGGTTCCTTTTATATTTTAGCTTCCCATCATTAGAATCATTGCAAAGTCAAAACCAAATGGAAGTGCAATAATCATTGGTCTCATATGAATAATGTTTCTGAAGCTTAACATGGAACCAAAGTGCTTGATTTTTTGGTGTGAACCCGCAGCATTCTGGGTTTTTTTTGGTAAAATGTTTACTATCATACATGGTTGTATTTTCAGGCTGGTGGAGCTGCTGTTATGGTCTGGATCCATGGTGGAGGATTCACCTTTGGGTCTGCGGTACAGCGGGTCTATAATGGACTGCCATTGGCTGCTGTGGGTGACGTCATCATAGTCACCGTCAACTATCGCCTCGGCGTCTTCGGATTCCTGTCAACAGGTAAAATGCTCTAAGCTTTTCATCTGATACCAAAAACAAAAAAATCCACCAATCCCCCTTTTTTTAAAGGCAAATGTATCAGGGTTGCATTTTTTTTGGGGGGGGGGTTTCACCATGTATAGTTTTTTTGCAATTATGGTTGTAGTAGGGGTACCCTGTTCTTTTTCTTTTTACCTTATATATTTTTTCTGACTACAGATGATGAAGCATCACCAGGCAATATTGCAATGTTGGATAATGTCATGGCTTTGAAGTGGGTCCAACAGAACATAGAAGGTAGGCTATAAGCTTAAACAGACTGTGGACTTAACGTCCACGCTTTGTAAAGCAAGCATGTATAAAACGTGTGAAGTCCTCGATCTATACGTAACAAAACAAATGCTACTTAAAATGTAAAAACCCAAAAGGAAGTGGAACCGCGCTGATGCTCTTTAAGAAGCTGATGATCATTGAGGCTATCCTGTCACCAATATGCTATGAATTGACGTGCATCGTATAGCTTCTCAGCGATTTTCAAGAACGAGAAATTAAGTCTGAAGTGTTGTAGCTAGCTCTATGAATTGAAATATAATCAGCTTATTCTTCAGATCAGTCCAGTCAGTAAGCAGCTTGCAAAATTCAATTCAAGTATCAAGTGAAATGAAATCTTTTCCAATGCTAACGAGATAAATGCTCCGTCCGACAGCTTTCGGCGGCGACAAGCAGCGGGTCACGATCTTCGGTGAGAGTGCTGGAGCAGTTAATGTCGGATTCCTCGTGCTGTCTGAGATGGCTAAAGGACTGTTTAGTCAAGCAATAATAGAGGTAAACAGTGATTAAGAAATAATTGAGAAAATAGTGACACTGCTGCCGTTCACATCATTTATACGTATTTGGCACATCTATTTTGGGGGTGTATTCCAAAATTGCCCTAATTTTTATTTTAAACAATAACAACGTTAACCTCGTTAGTCATTTGGGAGAATTTAAAGCCAGCCTACCACTTTTGACCATATACGTATTATGCAGTGCGTGCAAAACTTCTTGATACGGGGTGAGTAAAAGAAACCCCAGCAATACGAAAAAAAAACACTGTTTTCAAAACAAAGTTGAATTTTTGAACTTTTAAACCTTGTAAATATGACATATTCGTTATAACTTTGTGTAAAAAAAGGAAGTTAATCGCATTTACCGTTTGTCTTTTACGAACCTTTTAACTACGGTATCCGATTTACATCTTTGTCCACGAGGCGTCTAAAAATTGCATAAGGGTACAAAATGTGTCCCCCAGAGCCGTTATTCCATGATGTCTAGAGCTGAGACATGCATTGCCTTGCAGGGTTGCCAAGTAGAGGGCAGAGCGGCAATTTTGTGAGCAATGAAGGACACAGTAACTACAGTGTAGACCACAGAAACTTTGCATAAACATAAAGAAGTGAAACAGAAAAATTGCTTAAGCGAAGGTTCAGTCAGTTTTAAATATGTGTTGTCTCTAATGTCTTTCATTGTACCGTTTCCGCTCTTATGCAAAATTCTGTTGCCTCCTGGACAAAAACGTAAATCGGGTGCCGCACTAAAAAGGTTCACAATGGCAAACGGTAAATGCAATTTAACTTTATTTTGTTCACCCAAGGTTACTCACGAATATGTCATTCTTAGAAGGTTCAATTGGCTTTGAAGGAAAAAAAGATTGCTCCTTTGCATTATTGCAGTTTTTACTCACCCTGTATCATTAAATGTAATTACTATATCAACATTGTTTTCTGTAGAGTGGTGGGTCAATTTCACAAGAGGTTGGGCCATTAACCGAAGACGGTGACAAGGTGCTCCGCGAGAGGGCCTTCCAGTTGGGCGAGACTGTTGGCTGCAGTACCTCGGACAGCGCAGCTCTAATAACCTGTCTGCAAGACGTAGACGGCAATGATCTTATACAGGCTCAATTAGCGGTATGACATCACCGACGTTGATTTCCTTCAGCTTAAAAGTCCTATTAAATGAAGAGAATGTTTAATGATCAATTTCACATTTTGATAGAGAAAATCCCCATGTTATTTTACACGAGGTGGGAACTTGACTTCATTGATTTCCTTTCAGTTACCATTGTGCTGACTATCAAGATTTTGTTGGACATTTTCCGATTAACAAACCCGTCCAGGATAGCCTTCCATGCTGCGATTAGTCGAATCAATATGTCATCCCTGTACTTCCGAGGCATGCCCAACTATGGGATGCGCCGAGGAAATGCTCATCTTTGTATTCACAAATTAGTCCTAAGTCAGAATTGCTTATTGCTTGCAGGTTTACGATCGAATGTATCCTAACGTCGACGGGACATTCCTGACCATGACCCCGCTCGAAGCGTACGCCTCTGGAACCTACAACCACGTGCCGATGCTCATTGGTACGAATCGTGACGAGGGAACTTTGTTCTTTGCGTTTAATCCCTTATTTGTTGAGTACCTGACCGACAAGAACCCGCCCTTTGTCAACAGGACACTGTTTGATGCGCTCGTTGTGTACACCTTCAAGTTGTTCGGTAAGATTTTTAAGCTTCTGTATTACGAAATATGAAAGTGGGTGAAAAATCGGGTTTAGTATAATGCACGTGTTGGCATTAGCTTTTGCGACTCAAATCAGAGGATAGGTGGGGATTTTAAATCTAGTTGCTTGTCATTGCGTCAAGTCCTAAACTCAACCAATCAGTTCTTTTTAGAATAACACTTCTTCAAAGAAGAGATTACTTTCCATATGGTGTTACCCGCAAACTTTCTAATTTATTTCATCCGCCATGCAAAGCTTTAAGTCATATAGCCTATGTCATGTAATGCTTGTCAATTGTTTCTCGGTATAGCTACTTGTTGTCTTTCATAAGAGTTTAATTAATCGATACCGACAGTACCACAGAAGTATGTAAGCCTAGCCATACCTGCGTTGGACTGGCATCCCTCCCAGGAGGAGCGGATGATATCCTCCGTCGTTTAACGCCGAGGAATCCTCGTACCGGCCTGATAGGTGGGACTCGAGCGACAGTCCGAAATTACTCAACTTTAACAGAAGTACGTGTAATCACTACGTATTTGTGTTTGTTTTGTTTTGTTTCCATAGATCTTTATGACAAAGCAGTGTTTGATGCTGCCGAAATGAAGTACATTGACTGGTCGCAAGCCGAGTACGAAGCCGCTGATTATTTCCACTCAATGGTGGAATTTTCAGGCGACTGGCTCTTCACATGCAACGTCGACAAACTCGCCCGACTTCACTCGACCAAGGACAAAGTGTACCGCTACCTGATGCCACACGTCCCGACCGTGTCCTACTATAAATTCCAGGGGGTTCAGCCGGGTTGGGTCGGGGCGGGCCACGCTGAGGAGCTCCCCTTCGTCTTCGGTGCGGCCTTCGTGCCCGGAAACCCCTCGGTCAATCTAACGAATGACGAGAAAGTGCTCTCTGTCAACTTCATGAAATTGTGGACCAATTTCGCTAAGAGTGGGTGAGTAAACAAAGAAACAAACCCTTGTCGGACATTGCGATGAGTTTCTCTGAAATATACAAACCATATTCCTCTATTATCAGTCTCATGTCCTCATGTTTTTCCAATGTAACAATATGCTGCTACATGAATGTCCGAAATTATTTTCTTTCTATCCATAGTTCCAGAGACATGCACTGTCATTTCCCTGTGAAGGCGTTGCCTCGTTACCACAACACGAAATTTTGCAAACAAATGTGACATGGTCGATTGTTCACCTAAAAGTAAAAGTGAACATAATGGAACCTTTCCCTTTGTTATACCTTGCGCCATTTCATCTCAGACAATATCTTGTGCAGCAGGAACAGTTTAAGCGAACCGCACTTCATTCATTGGACGTGTTTCTATGTATCACTGTTTTTGTTTCAGTAATCCGAGCAAGGAGTCCCCGAATTCTCCGCCGATTTTAGAGTACATCTGGCCCGTTTTCAGTAGCCCCGGTTTGGAGTACAAGGTGCTAGACCTGAACCTATCTTCAAGCCGAGCTCTCAAGAGTGACCAGTGTTACTTCTGGAATAATTACGTGGAGGATCTTCGGGCAATGTTAGGTAAGAACATGATTCAATCTACGTCAAGCATGCAGGGACGGCAGAACGCTTTTTAAACTGGGGGTGGGGGGGGGACACCAAAAACAGGCTCTTGCTCAGATAAGGGGTACTCTTCGTCGGTGCGAAAGTGGAGGAAAGATATTGTCCCGTTCATTTCGCTATAAACCTATGACGAGGAACAAATTATGCATACGTTGTCCATCTTGCTCTTTGTGTTTCTTTTACGTAGTTATGTAGAAAGGCCATTTTTTTTTATTGCGAGAGGTGCACTGTTGCTTTTGATTGCCACTGCCATTTCAGTGACCATTTTAGTCGCGTGAAGAACACTATAATTTTTTTTAGGCAGGCGCGGATCGGGGGGGGGGGGGGCTTGGAGTTCAAAAAAATAAAAAAAGCTCTAGCTCTGTCAATTTTTTTTTCAAAGAAATTTATAACAAAATGCGAAATCCCCCCCTGCTGTGACTTCCAAGAATTTTTTACGGGTAATAATGTCCGCCTTTGCACAAAATACTTACAGAGCCAGCTTGGTTAGTGGGTATTATGTACACTTTATAGTGTTAATAAACGTCGGATTTGAACAGCGCCCCCATTAAAAGTATGGTGCAAGGCCCCCCCCCCCCCTTTGATTTTCAGAGGCCAAATGTCCGGAGAAAAAACCCTGTCTACATTTCTGATTTTTTTGCCTATGAAACACCCCCCTGCGAAAATTCCTGGATCCGCCCCTGTTTTCCATCTTGAGAGGAGGCACAATTAATGTTGCGAGCGGGCAATGTGCTTTCGAAGGGGCAGTTTTACATCTCGAGAAGTGATCGCGAGAGGAGTACTATTGTTTATGATTGTCAATTTTCCATCTCGAGGGGGCACAATTGTATTATTGCGAGAGGGATATTTGTGCTTTCGAGGGGTAGTTTTCCATCTCGAGAAGGTGCACAATCTAATGCGAAAGGGGTACTTGTGTTTTTGAAGGGCAGTTCTGCATTACAAGAGAGGAGACAATTTTCTTTGAAGCGCCATCAGAATTTATGCTTTCATACGTGTGCGTTTGAGGGGCAGTTTTGTTTTTATCTCGAGGTGGCACAATTGTAACTGCGAAAGGGACACTTTTGTTGGCCTGGGAAAATCTGGGGGGCAAGTGCCCCCTGCTCCCCCCGCCCCTGATCAAGCGAAATGTAGCAAAGGATCTAGTCATGTGCTTTCGGTTGGGTAATTGTGTGTTTTTTTTTTTTCAATTATATTTTTACAGAAGATCGGAATGGTGTCGACAGTGGCGTATCCAGCGAGTGGACGGGTGGACTACTTGCCATTCTGGCGACGCTTTTCCAGTGCTTGTGTTTGGTGTTTTCGAAATAAACGCGCCAGCACCTAAAAACCACATCTAAGAATAATCCTCTTTTTACCATTTTTACGAACGATACCAACTTGGTGCTACTTTCTACTAAAATGTACACTGCTCTCCTTTCCCTTTGGACCCAAACCTGGTAACAACAGTGAACATCGAGCATTACTGGCGACAATGATCTTGAGGAACACCGACATGGAGGACTGGAGATAAGAATTTAACAAATGTAGTTAAGAAAAACCAGTGAAATCAAAAACACTTTACTCGCACTGTGAAAACTCTTCCAACCCAATTTGTTTTACTATGAATCCCCTGTGTGTTTCTCTTCATTTAAAAAAAAGGATAAAACCCCCAAATGCCTCTTAACCTGTTTTCTAGAGAGGGTGAAACATTGTGCGGACGTGGGCAAGTCCACACAACGTCGCTGCTACCTGGTTTATGTGGACATCTTTTGTTCGAAAGTCCACACAGTGAATTTAATGCTTGTACGCACACACCAGCTCGTTTTTACTACACTCATGAGGACCTGCCCCTTTCCTTCTTTTGTTCCCTTTTGTTTGAACGTTGCTTCTTTGTGGTTGTGATTCGGCCACATTAGAACTTACTGCCATTGATTCATTGTAAAGGTGGGGAATAGCTTTAATTTGAATTCCATCTAGTACACAGTAATTATTATTTCTGTATTTAGCATAGCATTGTTGGCTCAGAATATGCGATCCATTTTGATAAACCTCTATACATGTATTTGGTAATTATTTACAATGAAATTTCAGAACGACCATGTTGATTTATCACTGTTGAAACATGGCATTTGAACCGTGATTAGACTCGTGCCACATGCTTGCTTTAATATGCTTTCGAAACAAAGTTTAACTTACAGATGACGTGTATAGTTGTTATGAATTAATACTTCAAATTCTACTAAAGTACTGGGCATAGCATGAAACAGCCACAGGGGTGGTAAAGTTGGAGGCCTGGGAGGCTCTTTTAGATTCTTCTACAAGTCAGATTCAAACTGTTCGTTCTCCCCCTCGGAAACCCAACAGAACCCTGTGACAATTTTCTTAGTATTGAAAAGCGAGGGTTCTTGTTGACAGGTCAGGCTACACGATATAACATTGGGAGGGAGAAGATCAGATTAAAGTTTAAAATCATAAGTTAATCGATTGTGGAATAGCATTAATATTCAAATTCAACAAACCTTGTATCCAATCTTCGCCTCCCAACTCTCTCGACCGAGTACAAGGTTTGGAGGGATTATTATTATTTTTTTTTTTACGTTTCCCTTAAAATGAAATTATGGAGATTATATCACAATAAAATATCATATAAAGCGACTCTTAAAGAGTATAAATATTATTATTTAGACTTAGCGATGGGGCAATATGATTTTAACAGAATGCTTGTTGTACATATCAATAAGCCTGACATTATCAAGAATAAATCGACAATTTTCAATGTTTACCGCACGTTTACCCCATTTCCTCTTGTGTCTGTTGCTTTTTATCCCAAGTAAATTGAACCAACACTTCGAAACGAGGCAACTGTAGTCATGGATAACCCATTTACTGAAAAGCAAGTTCAAAAAGAATGCGTCCTGTCGCATCCCGTCCTTTTATGCTTGCTTGGTGAAATAACTAGCCGGGGAACTTCCGCTACGAAGAGAAAATCAAATACTTTCCAGGTAGACATTACTCAACAAAAAAATGTTCTAATAAATGACTTTGTTTTAAACGCACAGGCATCAAACAACGATTTCCTTATTTATCGATGTTGCATACCCTTTAAGAGAATATTCAACATTTGCAAACATCAAGAAAACAAAACTTATACCAAATTGTTATGGAAAACCTTACTGGATTGTTACTGAATTACATCTATAACGTCTATTGCGTCCTGTAAAATCATGGCACCTGGTGTACTGTCGCTTTCAAGAAAAGTGGTATTTTGTATCAATTTCCAACGCTGGTCGGCCGACCAGCGTTGGACAAAACTGTTCTTTTTAAAATACTGCCCCTAATTTACAATATGAAGTTAGTCTACATTTTGTTTGCAATCAATTACACACCTTCCAGCCAGACGATTTCCCAACCTTACAGTTCCCCGTCCATAAATTGCTCCTTTTCATCGTAAGTAGGGTCAGGTCACCAGACTACAAAAACATGATTGTTTTTCCTGGTTTTTCCAGCGTCTACGAGCACAAAACTTTAAACAAGTCAGTATATCAATATCTGCTAAAAATACCAACTCCCAAATCCGTCCATTTCTGAAAATAACATCAAAAGCAAATATTGTATAGGCCTATCCCATTTGATGCTAGTGTGACCAAATTCCAAGAAAGAGAGTATTTAAAGTTAGATATAGTTTCAGCAATAAAATGTAATCTCAATAAGTATGACTTCTCAGTACATGGCTTCTCTTATGTGTAATTAGTTTCTAATCACTAGTCTTGCTGTTTATTGATTACATCATTAACAATTTCGGCAAAATAGCATATCTTAGGGGCATATAGTTCAATGTGTTAAAATACGTCAACACACAGTTCTTCTCTATGGGACATTGTGTATTTCAGCGTACACTATCTCCCCGTATGTTGCAGCAGGTGGAGCCTCTTGTTCGCGCCTTGTCCTTGCTCCCGAAGGGTCATCTACGTCCAGGTCAGCATAGAGGGCGCCCCCTGCTGCCATAGTTTGCTCGCCCTCCGCTGCAGCGCTCTCTGTAGTCCCAATTCTCTCTGATGCTCTGCTGCCACTCGGAGCCTCCGCGTCCGACCCAGATGCAGTGGGCATTTCTTCGTCTTCGAAGGGCATGGCATAAATCACCTGCCCACTGTTGTCTACAGCTGGCCCCGAGGCGTCTGCGTTGACCGCCGGTGACTCGGCGTCTTTTTCGATGGTCGAGATCGGTACTTTGTATCTCCGTATCCTACCGCTCCCTGTATGACCCGCAAGAGAATACATGACCCCTTCTGTATCCGCCGGGTTTTCATTTGTCGCAGTGCCGTTTTGGGGTTCGGGAGGCTGCTTGCTGTTCTCTGTAGTCCCATCACCCTCTGATGCTCTGCTGCAACTGGTAGCATCAGCGTCCAACCCAGATGCAGTGGGCGTTTCTTCGTCTTCGAAGGGCATGGCATAAATCACCTGCTCACTGTTGTCTAAAGCTGGCCCCGAGGCGTGTGCATTGACCGCCGGTGACTCGGCGTCTTTTTCGATGGTCGAGATCGGTACTTTGTATCTCCGGATCCTACCGCTCCCTGTGTGACCCGCAAGAGAATACATGACCCCTTCTGTATCCGCCGGGTTTTCATTTGTCGCAGTACCGTGTTGAGGTTCGGGAGGTTGCTCGTTGTCTAGCAGGATGTTTTCATATGTAGGGGAATTCCCGGGTTCTGTAGTACCGTCATGAAGCTGATTTGTCCTGCCTGGCATCTCTATCTGATTGCCCACCGCCTTTTCTGGATGGGTTCGCTTAATCTTAACCCAATAGATGAGAAGGAAAACTATGCCGACAAGAGACAAGACGACTGCTATGGTGCCTCCCACGATCCCTTCTGCCGAAGGTCCCTGAGACGCGTCGTCATTTGGACCAGTTTCTGGTGATTTGTTTTCAGACGGTAAAACTGTCAAGAAAGAGTCATTGGCACTCAGGTATTGGTCTCCGTACAGCAATACAATGCATCTTATCCTAGCCTTGTCAAACTCATCGACCGTAACTTGCTGGATCTCGAGAATTTGTCTTCCAGATGACAATTCAAACTGGTGGTCGGGACTGTCTGGTGTTACATCTACCCATGAGCCCTCCAGATAAACCATCCAGCCAAACATTTCAGGAGTGGCAGGGGGAATCGCCTCCAAGTTGCAGGTGAACACCGCCCTATCTCGTTCATAGAGAGTCAGGTAGGGAGGCGCGATGGTAATATGGGGTTGTATTTGAAGAGGCGTCAGGTTGCAGCTCGGTCCATTGGTGTGAGGTCCAGCAGTACAGGTGAATTCCTGCATGTTATCAGTCGGTCGCAAGACTCGTTGTATCGTGTATGTCTGCCCTGGCTGCGTTTTTTGCGATGAAATTGCAAGCTGTTCATTCTCTGTCTTAGCCTCGTACCAAGTCAAGAAACTGATTGGGTCATTTTCATTGAGAGTGCACGTCAAGGATATTTCAGTGCCGACGCTGGTCTGCTGGGGCTGTACCTCACATGATGGGGAGAATCTGGGTAGGGGTGGGTTTACTGTCAACCAAGCCATTGCAGATACCCTGTTGTGGATACTACCTGGGCTGAAATACAGATTGCACCAATATTGGCCACTGTCTATTGGCTGAACGTCAGGGATATCAAGATGATAATATAGCCTGTCAACGCCAGCTGTTATCGAGCGCCGATTGAAGGGAGTGTACACCTCATCGCAGTCAGCCACTCTGCTGACAGGACTGGTACCACTGGGTCTGTAAAACCAAGACAGCAAGTACGAACTACATGTGTTTGAGGTGGCATAGGACGAGCCACAGGATAACCGTACACTTCTTCCCTCCACTACCGTTTGGTTTGCTGGGTTGCTCGTAAAGTCCACACATTCAATGGAGGTCAGGATGCTGACAAGATGCAACACGGTCGACAGGTGTATCTCCATGGTACCTTTGACACTCCTTAGTGCAACAGCTGTCATTTCATCGAGCTTACTTCTGAAAGCAGTTGCCAATTGACGTTAATTAGACGTCAATGTGTGAAGCTGGCTTTGAACCTCAATATGTTATATCCATTCAGGGAACCAATAACCTGGTGACACTGCGCGAACAAAGTAATACACAAACACGAGGGATCACCTTGTTACAATTGGCAGTATGCAGTGTTCTGTAAAGGTCATGGTTTTCCTATCTCATGTGGTTTTAGCCCACCCAGCGCATCCGGCACGCAAGGTTATTGAGATTTTGTCGGGAAGTGACATCCCATGGTGACAACCGATGAACCCGGATGGTGTCTTGTTCTATGTCAAAGCTGACACGACTGACAAATTTGCTATCAAGCTAGTCTGTATTCAAGTAGCCGTTAATAAGGTCAAAAGAGTCTCCGGTTTCTGGTAAGGAGCTTGCCCCAAAAGTAGTGCGGAGACGCGGTTTTTTAAAAACTTTTTTCCCCTCAAATGTTGGCTGATGACTGCAATTGGTGCCAGACTAAATTAAGTGCAAAATATATGGAAGTCCAGAGGCCACATAAAGCTTACACTGGATCGTAACCCCATCTAAAAAATTGTGCAGCAGCAGGATTCCAGTCAAACCAGTGAGTTTGGCGGGTTTGAGACATCATCTTACACTGAAAAGAAAACTTTTTCATTTTGCCGACGCACGCATGGCTACGGCGACGCGCGCATACCAGAAACCGGAGACTTTTGTTGGCCTAAGTGGTGCTACGCTGATACCGTCTCGATTCAAGAAAACGACGATGATGATTTTCCGCAATGCTACCAATTCCCGGCACACTACTTCCAAGCTAGCCTTGGTTTATTAAGATGCAGCTATGTTCTGCTAAAAATTCAGAGTATATTTGCCAATACCAGCTCTGAATTGGGCTTCAGATCGTACGTGTAGAGTGAGCACCTGCCCGATTCGTCTATATGCTCTGGCGGGTAAAAAGAGTGCCCTCACGCTCAATCGACACGTCTCTTGCCTTTCGAGTAATTTCCGTAATTCAAAATGAAGCATTAATAAAACTGCAGTGACTTAAACAAAGAAAAGCAAATCAGCGTTTTATTTCATCTAACACCCCAAGTTGATAATCTTCCAGATTTGTGTACCTCCCCGGTATAACTGCTATTATCTAATTAACCCAATTGACATCATCTGTTTGCAAAAACACCGCCATCATGTGTAATTAAGGGAATACATGTGTTATCGGAAGGTTTTAATCACTCTGTTTAAGACCGCTTGGAGTCTGGGTGCTGATAATTATTTAGAGATTCATTGAGCGGAAGATCCCCCTTCCCCGGCCGCTGATGTTTTTTTCCCAAACGACATCCATTTCCCATCTCCTCTCATATTTTGTCTAGAGTGCCCTTTTTTTAACAAGTGCCCTATTTTTCTGAAGATGTGCTCTTTTTAAAACGAAGTCGTGCCCTTTTTCGTGCCATCGGCCGTACCGGGTACCTTTTTAAATTTCGCGCATGTATTGCCCTAAAAAGCACCATATAATTGTCCGTTATTGTGCATAATCGTCGGTTTTGAACAGAGCTCCATCGAAAGATGGTACCTTCCACCCCCGCCAACCCCCCTATTTGATTTTATGGACGCAAAGTGTCCTTAGAAAAACGTGTCTACATTCCAGCACGGATGTGCAAGTGCCCTTTTCAAGAAATGTTTACCATCCCAAGAAAAATGATCGTGCTACGCCACTGTTTCTTACGGAAAGCTCGTCGCTGCAAATTTGAAAAGCGGGGAGGAGGGGGACTGAGAACCTCGTTTAATGTTATGAACATTAGGGCACTCTTTCTGTACCTTTGTATCTTTCTTTTAATTTACATTTCACAAACAAATTGTAGAGGGACAAGGGGACGATATCGTTGATATAAAAAAAAAAATCCTCATCTCCGAAGGACACCTCAATCTGGCACCTTTCGAAAGTTCCGATTCTAGGTGACGCAAAGAATAACCAAAGTCACTCGCTTCAAAGGATTATTTACCTAAGATCCCGTGTCTCTTACTTCAACCAAGTGGAAATTCACTCCACTCCGAAATTCGTTCAAGCAAAACGATTGACTTCCACTCGAGTTTCGGCTTATTAAGAGAATCTTAATGTTGCAAGAGTTTTCAAACTAACATTTGTGTGATTTCTCCATTCTAAATCATCGAGTTCCGAGTAATAGGCTTAATATAAGATATAGTACTGCAGTATGAATAATTGTTATTTGTTATCCGTTACTTTGTATTTATTAAACCCGGAAATGAGCATCATCTCAATGTAAGTTTTGCAACCGAAATAGATTGTATAATTACATGCATATTTTTTTGTAATTTGACAGCAGTCTAAGGTGCTCCTCTACAGAAGGCTTTGTCCTTCTCTCAGATGTCACCCCCATTCATAAAATTATTTAAGACACAGAAACTACTCTGAAATTGTTTGATTATATCGATTCCATAATGTATTCGATTATGTAATGGATCATGTTCCCTAGTGCACGTTATCAATTCCCTTTGACTTGTATTGGAATTTGGTCAGTAGCGTTGCCGTCCCTTAGCGCTCTGTCCCTGTAAATCATTGCCCACTTTGATGCTGGAATATGTTAGTGCGAAAGTGTGAATAAGAGTTGAAACTGTGCATGGCGGTTGTGTAAGCTAGTGAGGGTTTGCGGTAACAATGAGGAGCAAGATGGGCGGTTTTGAAATGAGTTTCACAACCAACCGGTTCTTTTCAGGAGTTTCACAGCCATAACCGGTTCTGTTCAGCAGTGTTGTAGTCGAGACCGGATAGTCCGCGACCGAGACCAAGACCGAGACCTGAAGATTCGAGACCGAGACCGAGACCGAGACCAGCCCCTTCAAGGCGGACCGAGACCGAGACCAATATGGTCCGAGACCGAGACCGAGACCGAGACCGAGACCGAGACCGCTGATAATAAATAACAATAGTCGAAATAAAAAAAACAAGACACGTTATTATAGTTGAAAAATGTAACCTTTCTATTCACAAAGAATACAGACCAAAATTTTGACCAGTGGCAATGTTGACAAATTGATACATGACACCTTACTTGAGCAAAAAGTAGTTACACTTAAGAAATGTGGGCTTTGACATGTTGTCTACACCCAATCGTGACAAAAGTAAAAAGTTAAAGGTAGATGTTTCATAGGTAGATGTTTTATAGGAACTCGGATCCTAAACTCCACAGTCACCCCTTGGTTTCAGCTATGACTTCTAATGGATATTTAAAGATGCAATTTTAATTTTACATTGCCTTTTTTTCCTAAAATAAATTTAGGACTTAACTTCTAACAAGACTTGTGTACTTGATTTTAAAAAATGGGAGCTAGAAAATGTTGAATTAATTTTTAAATTTTTGTCACAGAATGTGGACTTGTACATGTAGACCCACAAGTTGCGAGGTGGTAGCCAGAATGTGCCAGATATGGATTTTTAATTTTTTTCTGAACGGGATTTTTAATTTTTGAGGAATAATGGGGTACTTCAAAATGAGCAGCCAGAAAATGGGGTCTCATCATACACTCTCATGGCAACAGTGAGTGGTAACTGGTCAGAGTGTGTGAGTTCAAAGCTGGAAAATCAGGTAGGAAAATTTACTTTTTCTTCAAAACACTGTCCCAAATTAAAAAGAATATTGTGTGGGGTCGAAAATATAACTAATTTGAAGCACCTCATCATGGGCGTCGCCAGGATTTTTTCTAGAGGGGGGCAAAAAAATTCTTTTGCCAAAAAATGCTTGTATTTCTCAACACATTCTCGATTTATCAGTTTTAGAGGGGGGCAGGGACATCCCCCCAACTCATTACATTTACACCACGTTGTCTTCGCGCCTCTTTTTTTTTTTTTTCTTCCTTTTTAATTTTTTTTTTATCCTTTTCGGGGGGGGGGGGCAAGTGCCCCCCCTTGCCCCCCCCCCCCCCCTCCTCGCGACGCCCATGCACCTCATTTATTATCAGAATACAAAATGCAAGTGATTACGCCCACAGGGGTGGGCTAAACTACACAATCCCCGAAAATGGTTGACCCTTATTGCATAAATTGTTACAAGTTTATACTTTGCTTTATGTGGCCGACTCAACAGATAAATGCCGAACTTGTTCCAAATCGTTGTGTGACTGGTACTGCTGCAGTTTTACATGTACTTTGGTAGCCTTGACCAAGGCTATCAGCTTGTTCCCATACGAGCTTGTTCCCGCTACCGCACACCACCGCGCGCGCCGCTACACAATCACTAGTTGTACTATACCGTTAGCCTCAACGACCCTTGCGTGTGCTTTGTGTGCATGTACGTACGCCCCACACACACTTCCGCAAACAGCCGTATAGTAAATCGAGGCGGCAGATACCTCGATTTACTGTACGGCTGTTTGCGGAAGTGAGTGTGGGGCGTACGTACATGCACACAAAGCACACGCAAGGGTCGTTGGTGCTAACGGTATATAGAACAACATTGTGTTGCTGCGCGCGCGGTGTGCGGTAGCGGGAACAAGCTCATATGGGAACAAGTTGATAGCCTTGGTCAAGGCTAGTACTTTGGGGACTTGCCAACGTGCAGTCGAGTCCAAACCGACCGCAATATATAACGGTACTGAACGAAGTGAACACAAAGTAATCGATCGAGCTGTAAAAGCTACATATTGCCGGTCTCGACCCGAGACCAGACAAAATATCGAGACCAAAGGGGACCGAGACCGAGACCAAGACCGAGATCACAGCTTCCGAGACCGAGACCGAGACCGAGACCAGCAAAAAGTGGTCTCGAGACCTCGAGACCGGTCTCGAGACCTACAACACTGCTGTTCAGTACCGCACAACTTCTAAAAAGAGATTACTCAGCGTGGTGTTACCGCAAAACCTCACTAGTTTGCCAAAGTGTAAATGTTCATGCCCAGGGGCGGAGGAACGCTTTTCAAACTGGAGGGGGCAACACCAAGAATTAGGGACACTTGCTCAGAGAAAGGGGCACCTTCCATCGGTGTGAAAGTGGAGGAAAAGAACATGGTCCCGTTAATTTTGCTATAAACCTATATGACGAGAAACAAATTATGAATACGATGTCCATCTCGCTCTTTGTGTTTCTTTTATCTACTTATGTAGAGAGACCATTTCTTTTTATCGTGAGAGAGGCGCTGTTGCTTCACTATTTTATTCGCATGAAGA